AGATCGGCCCGGCCGATCGCAATATCGTCCTGGGACGATCAGACCAAATTCGATCGTCCTGGACGGTTCCCAGAACTATTCTCAGGACAATATTTTGAACAGTACATATCGGCCTGGACGATGTCCCTATCGACCCGGCCGATACCTATAGAAAAATCACCTGGAGTAATCTGGACACATTCTGGAGCAAATCCTCAACTGATCGTCCCAGGACGATCCCAGATCGTCCTGGACGATCCTGGAGCAAAAACAGCACTTTACAATCCGAGCCCAAATGAGTCCAAATCAAGGACCCGAAGCGCTGGTAGAAGGTTCAAAGCACAATTTGGATTACCAAACGTTTTCCAAATATGATGTACTTATAGTCGTATCGAGTGGCTTGACGAGACGATTCTAACGAGCCCAATATCGCTAAATTCCAACATCAATAAGACCTTCAAATGTTTGACAAACGGTCCACAATCAAGGGATTCAATATCGACTGTCCATCCAACCACTCCCCATTTACCCTTGATCTCTCACCTATTTATGAGCCATGCCACTTCAGAAATATATAAATAGACTCCTCATTCCTTTTAAAAAGGGATTGAAGAAAGAAGAGAAGAGAAAGAAGAAGCTCCTCTTCGACCACCGCCGAAGTTTCGTTGGACCACCGCCGGACCTTCGCAGAACCACCACTTGAGGCCCTAACCTCCGCCGGACCACCACTTGAGATCCTCACCTCCACTGGACCACTGCTTGATGCCGTTGCTCCGCCGGACCACCACTGGAGGCCCTCACCTCCGCTGGACCCCCACTTTACACCGTTGCTCCGCCGAACCACCACTTGAGGCTGTTACCTCTACCGAACCACCACCTGACGCCATTGCTCCGCCGGACCACCACTGGAGGCCCTCACCTCCGCTGGACCACCGTCTGACTCTGTTTCTCCGTCGGACCACCACCTGAGGCCCGTACTTCTTTCGGACCACCACTTAAGGCCCTATGCTCCACCAGGCCACCACCTGAGGCCCAAATTTCCACCAGACCACCACCTAAGGCCCGGACTCCACCGGACCACCACTTGAGGCCCGGACTTCCTCCGGACCACCACCTGAGGCCCGGACTTCCACCAGACCACCACCTGAGGCCCAGACTTCCATCGGACCATCGCTTGAGGCCCTGTGCTTCACCAGGCCACCACCTAAGGCTCGGACTTTCGCTGAATCATCACTTGAGGCCTTGTGCTCCACCAGGACACCACTAGAGACCGGGACTTCTATCGGACCACCACCTGAGGCCCGAACTTCTGCCGGACCACCACTTGAGGCCCATTACTCCACCAGACCATCACTTGAGGCCTGAACTTCACCGGACCACTACTTGAGGCCTTGAGCTCCACTAGGCCACCACTTGATGTCCAGAGTTATCCAAAAATATTACCGACATCCATCACCAGACAACGGTCTTTTTGACCCCGGTCTCCTGCCGACTATGGTTCATCCGACCTCCATCACTAGACAACGGTCTTTCTGACCTCGGCCTCCTGCCAACTACAATCTTTCCGACATCTATCTTATCAACTATGGTCCTACAGGCCAAACAAACATGTCTTTGTTGATTATTGTAACTTCCACCATGTAATGCGCTCTATGTGATGTACATTTGTACCATCAAGCCAAGGCCTTCTCCTTAAGGAGGGCCTCATTTGTAATCGACCGCAAATACTAGTGGATTCATTCAAACTAGGCTAGGCCCCGTGGGTTTTCCCCCTTTTCAAGGGGTTTCCATGTAAAAACTCTAGTGTCTCTTATGAATGCTACATCATCTCACTTATACAATTGTGTGCTAGATCTTCGTACAATGTGAAGACTTTAAACCATATATTTCTCTACTGCCGCGAATACTCCAGTACGCAACAATAATTAAAAAAAGATCTACTTCCAAAATTTATGAAATAAGTAGGATATTTCATTTTTAAATTCAAATGTCTAAATTTTTTATTTTTATTCTTTTAAACTATAAAAAAAATTTCTAATAAAGACAAATAGAACTATGAAAGAGTCAAATGCCGCCATTTGGAAACAAATTACCCCTTTATTAAAAGGGCAATGTTTTTAATTTATATCATTTTACCTAATAATGACTTATGAAAAAATGATGTTATAATTATAATTAATTTGTTTTGGATTAAATTTGAAAATATTAATCACTATATATTATACAAGGATACATATTTTAATTCTTCTTTTGTATGAGTTACTTTTTAGAATGATAAAAATTAATTACATAAATTTATAGGAATATTTTTATTTATTTTATTTTTTAGATAAAAATTACATAGGAGCCTACACGTTAAAATAAAAAAAGGATTACAAATTCTTAATGAATTATAAGCTCTCTATTTATATATGACAATTTAAATGACTTATGGCTAAATAATTTGATAATATTATTTATCATATTTTATATTTGAGCCACACATTTTACAACTTATTATTCGTCTTTCTAAAAAAAAAATTATAATAAGAAAGAAAATTTTCTTCAAAATTACAAAATAAAATTCCCTTCAAAATTACAAAATATAAAGATAACTCTATTTAAAATTATTTTTCTCTTAATTTATTAAATATAATATTTTTATTTCTTTTTTTACTACATAACACTCCATCCTCTATCTTTAAACAAAGAAGTCAACCAATTTTCAACTAATTTTCTTTTTGAATGAGCAGTATTTTTCTATTTTAGTTGGATCAGCTTTAAGCCCATATCTTTTTGCTTTAGTCATGTATGTTCTTACTAGACATTTGTAAGAGAATGTACCTGGCCTTGTGTGAGTTTTATACTATTCTTGTTAATAAAACTAGAGAGAGAATTGAAGGTAAACTAGCTTGAATTATGGATGTCAACTTTAGAGTCTAAATATTTTCGTTTGAGTAGATCTAACGTTGAATACATATAGTGTAGTTTTAGAGTAATAGTTCTAGTGGGGGGATTGTGTCTTTGGGCGATCAAGCCATTAATAAAGAGTACTAGTTTTAGATATATTAGATATATTGTCCAAAGTTATGGTGAAATAGATGAGGATGCTATTAGTAGAATTCAAGTTGTATGGTTGAAGTAGACGAATGTATCAGACCTGCTATGTGATAGAAAAGTGCCCCTCAAACTTAAAGGAAATTTCTATAAGATGGTGATGAGACATACATTGCTTTCATGGCGTAGAATGTTGATCATTAAAAGAGAAGCATATAATTAAGTTAACTGTTGCAGAGATGAGTATGCTTAGGTAGGTGAAACGCCTTACTCTTAGAGACGTAATACAAAATAAGTATATATGTGAAAATGTTGGAGTAGCTCTAGTGGTAGATAAGATTATATAGTCGTCTTAGATGGTTTGGTCACATAAAACGTCGGTTTTTTGATGATCTGATTAGGAGAGTCGAGATTTTAGATTTGGCTTATGTTAATAGTGGGATAAAAGCTTGATGTGTTATAAAATCACAATCCTTATTTATTTTCATGAAATTCTCAATAAATAATTATGAAACAAGAAAATAAATAAATAAATTATTTATTTTTGTGGGTATATATTATTTTTTGCTTAAAGAAAATTACACCAATGCCATTCAAGGAAAGAAAATGCGGAGTTTAGGGTTAGGTGAACGTGAACCCTAAGGAGAATTGAAATGACTTTTCAAAGATCACAGCATTAATTAGTTTCAATTTCCACTCTCCGCTTATTGCCCAATTTGGCCGTTCCATGGGAGGGCATTTATGTAATTTAATAAGATCATGCTCTCTCCTTCCGCGCTCTCTCCCCTTGCCCTTCTCTCTCTAAAGTAAAAGTACCCCCTTGGTTCCCCACTTCGGTCTGCCATTTACGCTCATACTCATTGCACCACCGAAAGCAGAGTACTGGAGAGAGAGAGAGAGAGGGAGAGGAGATGGAGAGAGGGGTTGTGGGCGAGTTTATGGTTTGTGTGGACAGGATCATCGCGTCCGCCTGCTTCGAAGGTGGAAATGTGCCGGCGGCTAGAGGCGATGGCGGTTACAGCGCTACGGTTGGGGCGGAGGGGGAGGGGGAGTGCTCGGAGAACTGGAAGGAAGAGGCGAGGTGTAGTAAGAAGAAGGGAGGAGGGAGGGAGATGGTTGAGTGCAGAATTTGCCAGGAGGAAGGGTTGGAGAGTGACATGGAGAGCCCTTGCGCTTGCTGTGGAACCCTTAAGGTCCTTTTCCCCTTACTTTTTTTTTCATTTTTCAAGATTTTTTTTTTTTCTTTTGCTCTTCATCTCTTATATACCATCCTGCTTGTTCTTGTGGTAAGTGATCGGCTAGCGGAAAAAAGTGTATTTTTGTGGTATGAGAGATTTTTTTGGTTATAAGTTTTTATGATTCATGCTTGTGATGCAAAAAGGTGCATTTTTCTGGATTCTTTCTTTCTGAGATGTGTTTTCGGCGGAGATGCGAGTATGTGCTTTTCCTTTTTCTTCAGAGTGTTTCTTTTAGGTTATTAGTTTACTTTCCTGACCTTTAACTTATTTCAAAATGTTTCTCCATTTTTTCTGTTGACTGGGTTTTCTTTGTGCTTATAGACGTTGAATTTATCACATATCTGTTTGTTTTGGATTGTTGAACAAATGGAAGGATTGGTAACATCTATAATTTTTTATTCTATTTCTCTTGTATTCTAGCAGAAATTTTATTTTGGCTTGCCATGATTTGCATTTGTTTCTTTCATTTTTTATCATTTCTTTATGTGAAAAAAGATTAGTTTTATATGAAGCCTTTTAGGTTTAACCTGAATCAATGGTTTGGAATTTTCAATAATGCTAGTGGCTTGGTGTTTTTCTTGCTTTCAATAAGTTTTTCAGTGAGGATATCTTCTAGAAATACATGGAAAATATTTAGTCAAGGATATGACGGGCTTAATGAATTTTTGTTGGACAGTTTGTTCATTTTTTAGCCATCATATTCTTTGTATTGAAATCATTGTGCATTTACATACCCGAGATAAATTGGTTTTCTTAGCTCGTGTTATAATTGTTAGATATAATTGGTGTGGTAAGAAGTACTATTATGCGGTCTCTTTGGAGAGGAATGATGGGACATATTTCTTGATTTGTTGTTTTTCAAATGTTGTCACTAGAAGAACATGATAAAGACTTACCTGAGCATTTTCATTTAATGTTGAGGATAGGAAAGACTCTAAAAAGATAGAATTTTTATGATGTAAAAAATGATATGATGAAATTTATCTGTGGTAGTTTTTCTTCAGTGGAAAAATTGCAGTTTGGCCCCTGAAATCTGAACTTGTTCATCTTCTTCCAAAAAAAAGTTCATTAAGGGCCCTTAATTAGATGACATTTGTCATTCTCCTATGTTCAAATAACATCATTAAGAATAATGCAAATATAGATGTAATGCTAATGTTAATGATACACAAATAAATGCTATGGGAAATGGTAATATAATATTTTTATGAATTTAGTGCTAATTTGATCGAAAGGTACCACATTGTGTTTTTTTAGGTGCCTAGATGAGCATATTCATAAATTGCTATGGATGGCTCAATTTTAATTTAAAAGTTTGAGGTTTACATGATTGCTGATTCTCTATCATTCATTTCTAAGGTTTTTGGTCTTTAGATTCATGCTGAAACTTGAGTTGTTGCTTTAGCATTCATTTTTATGGTTTTTGGATGCTTAATTCAACTCGAGTCTTACAAATTTTTTTTTGTGCTCTATGTAATAAGAATTCCTTTCATTTGAAAGCTTTTTTACTTTGAAGCCCTCAACATCTGAAATCTCTTTGTTTTTGCTAAATTTTTTACTTTTAAGCCCTCAACATCTTAATCCCTTAATGCTTTTAGGTTTTGATTGCGTCAAGCTTAATTTCTAAAGCCTTTACGATGTGTATTTTAAGTTCAAATTGGGATTAAACGTTGATTACTTCATTTTTTGCAGTTTGCCCACAGGAAGTGTATACAGAAGTGGTGCAATAAGAAAGGGGATATTACATGTGAAATATGCAACCAGGTAAATATAACAACTTGAGCTTGAGACGCACTTGCCTAACTTGGTTTTATTACTAGCTGCCTTTCAATTTTTGCCCTTAAATCCAATAAAGCTTGCCATAAAGTTTTTGATATGGGAATTGCTTGACTGCAGCTTTCATGTCTTAGCTTGCTGACTGTTCTTTCTTGAAAGATTATTTTTCAGGCTTTTTACTGATCGTTTATCTATTTTTCTATTTACTGTCATACTATTAAGGGTTTGTGCTACTTATATAAATAAACTATAGGCAATAGAGTGCTAAACAGAGTAGGTTTTTGCTCAGAAATTACAAAGCTTCAACAACATGATATTGTTTTGAATTTATCTGACAATATTCTTACATTCTATTTTTATGGAATCAAACATGCAGATGAGTTGTTTTATTTTTCAATTTACTATAGGAATGTTTAAGTAGTTTGTGTTTTGGGACCTGCTGATTAATTCAAAGTATTCATCAAAACTAATTTCTTTCTCAGGATTTATCTTATTTTAATTTTGAATTAATTTAGTTTTATCTATATAATCTTATTTCTACTAATAAGGATATGAAATCCATTTATTATTTTGAGTTGAATGTTGATGCTAATACCTCCTTTTCCTCTTCATTTTTCCTCTTTGTTTCTCTACTCTTTGTCCTCTATCTCTTCTCGAATTTCTTGTCATATTTGACCTCGTGTTTCTTCTCTAATCAAAGCTCTTGCCTTACTCTCTAGGTTTCTCTCTTTGCATGCCTAATAAATTGTTAATGGTTGGATTCAAGGAAAAATTAAGCAAACCAAATGTAATTTCAAATGGGAAGAAGGAAAAACATCAAACAGGAAGACCTCCATGAAGAAGGAGCCAACAAATTTTGGTGTCTAAGTTGAAATTTATGAAGATAATCAATCTTAAATCCTAATCATCCTATATCATCATCAACTCAACCCACTGGTCCACCCTTACCCACTTTTCAATCTCCATGACACATTAGCTCCCATGCCACCGCTTTCCTCCATCTCGCCGCTCCTTTGAAAGAACAAGGAAACTTATAATCTACATGCTCAGTCTCTACCCATCATTCTCTTTTAAAACAGTCGACTTTTCCCCATTTCTCACTAACACCCCCCACTCCCCGCTAGGTCTTAGAACCTTAAATCCTAACCCTAAGCAATAACCTTTTTTCGATTCCTTCATCAAATACCAATGGTCATTTGAAGAATGATTATCTGGTTATCAATGCCAAGTTTATGCTTGGGATTTATATTAGGTAATTTAAACACAATTTCAAAATCACACAAATCTAATGATTCAATTTGATTTCAAGGTTGCACATGTATCAACCCATAATCTTTATCAATATCATAATTACCTGAAATCAGGTTTTGCTCGATACTATATTATACTCATGAGTATGTGCAATCTTCCTATAATGGGTTGATCGTTTTACAAATCTAATGAATCAGTTTGTGAAGAAACTTGATGTACAAGTGAAGATTTTTATCAAAGTCATCGTCTTCTACTCAAATTGTAGGATGATTATATATGTAATCATCTATCCATCCAAATCCATATCATCAGAATGATTATGACTCATCTCATTTGACACCAATTTCTCAAACTTCAAAATTTCAGAAATCAATGTAAACTGCACAACTTCAAAACACTACATGAGAAATTTGCAGGTTTAGGAACTTTTTTGTCAACTGCACTCATTCAAAATTGTTTCAACATTGCTATATTATCTTGTAGATTGACCCATGTAATTGAGAATGTCTTTGTTGATGAACTGAATTATAGAGATAGCTTGATGATGATACTCAATTATCAATTATTGTGTCTCTTGCTAAGCCTAAACTTGTGATTGTACTTGAGACTATTTTCGAGCTTAATTGAAGATCATTTCTGATGATATTGTTAAGGAAAAGCTTGAGATTCCTTCTATCATTATTGATGTTTTTCATAAGCAAATTATGATTAAGAAACGGCTGTTCTTCATATTCTTTTATTGTTGTGCGCTTTGTTACTAATTATGCAGGTAACTTTCATTTTACAACTAATGTAATTGTCATGTGACCATTGGATTCTTTTTTATAGCATTAATTAGGAAAAGTTGTATGTTGCATGGAAATATTAGGAAATAAAACCTCCGAATCCTACTTCATGTGTTCATACTTCATTTTTTTTTTTGATTTGAGAGGTATAACATGAGCCCAGCTTAACACCACCTCCTCCATCGACAACATAATTATGGGCAAGTGTTTCACATGACTAAAGATTGCGTTTTTATTTTGCTAGTATTTTTGTCTTTAGAATTATACTTTTCTGGAGGATTATTCTATTGTTAGGATTTATATTACTTAAATTTCAAATTCATTTAATTTTATCCATTTAACTCCTTTTTTATAAATAGGGTTAATGTAGCCAAGTAATTATATTTTGAATTAAATATTGAAGCTGATTCCTCGTTTTGCCCTTAATTTTTCTCCTCTCTGCTTTCTCATCTCTCCCTCCGATTATCTGCCTAGAATTTCTCAACTTGGAACTTCTTTGGTTCCTCTCCAAAAGAAACTCTTAACTCTTCTACTTTTAGATCCCCCTTCTAACCAATCCCATTTCAATTTACGGTTGAACTCGCCGAGAAAACAAATTAAGTGCAATACAAAGAAGGAAGAAATAATAATATCAAGAAAGAAGACCTCTATCAAGAAGGAATCATTACCTGCTTTGGGAAATTATAGTCCTTTAATCATTCAACTACTATACGAATTCTGACAATTTTTTAACAAGTTGGTGTAAGCTAGTTGATGATGATGATTAGTTGATGCAAAATAGTTTTAGCAACTTCTGCCATAAACAAAGTTTACAAGTTTCTTCAAATGTACCATATAAAATTTATAAGTATGATGTTAGCTTCTCCAGCATATGCAAGGATTGTAACTTATTTCTTTTACAGGCTTATGCACCGAATTATTCCGCTCCACCTCCCCAGGCGAATTCTGATGTACTAGCCATTGATATCAGGTACTTTTCAAATACCTTTGTTTTGTTTACTTTAAGTTTGCAAAAGCTTGGTATAGGTTTCTCCTGGGAAAGTTGAAAATGATTTTCTTGCTTATCAATATTGGAAAGTGCATAATAGTGGCAATTGAAAAATTGTTTTTTCCTTGAATGTATACACTTGTTTGCCTCTTAATTTTTTATTTTGTGAATTTCTATCTGATGTTTAAGAATTATACCTCGTCTTTTTTCTTTTTGGTTTTCCCCATACGGCTTTTATGTATGGAAATTGTTTATTGATGATTTCTTTTATGCGTCATCTGTTTCTTTTTTGACATTTGTGCATATAGCACATCCTAGAAATATAGACCTTTATATTAGACATTTTTTTCCTACAAAATTTTTTACTACATTACATGCAACCAGTACCGAGGTAGGACATTTTATATTGGAGTTTCTTATGTAGTTAGATTGATGAGATGTACATAAATCATGCAAGAAAAATTAGGATATTAAAAATTATTTTGAATTTTATTCTTTGATTTTTTCCACTATGTGAAAGTGTATATAAACTTTTCCAAAGTCTTATAATGAAAATAAATTAAAGCTAATTAAAAAAAAAACCCTCCACGAGGAGCTGATGGCTAAAAGAAGAAGGGGATGCACACGAAATAGAGATCTAAGAAGATTGATCAAATTGTTAGAATCATTAATTCATGTGCTCAAGAATTCCTACCATGATTGGTTGAATTGTGGTTCTCACGGTCTTTCAACACTTCATTACTCCTCAAATTAAATGGTATAAATCTACCATTCCAAATTTGCATATGTATTTTTGAATGTGGAGTTGTAGAACGATTTGTTGAGAATGTAAGGAAGTAGATTTCCTGTTGGCACATATAGAGAGTACAAATAAATTCACTTTTTTTGTTTCTCTTTTATGAAATGTCTGTTTACCTCCATATGCTTGGTACAATTATGTTGTATTGAATTAAGAGTAATGCTAATGATAGATTTATTATCATAGTATATATTTATTGGCCCTTCATATTTGATTTTTAAGTACTCTAAGACAATTTTGATCCATAGAAGCTCATAGTTTCTTTGGGCAATAGCTCTAAATTAAGATTCAATATTAGATCTTGAAACAACAAGTTATTTTTTGCTCATGCTATGAGATATCCTTAAAAAAAAAACAATATATAGTAATCGATTTTCAATCCACTGCCAATTATGCTTAGTAAATTATCCCGCTTTTTATATAAAATTCCTTCCCTTATACTTGATCTAAAATATTTAAGGATTCTGGAAGCAGCTTGCAGGTGAGATTTTTTAGGTCTGTGCATGAATTGAGTGAAGAGACTTACTGCAAATGTGATGTTTGGAGATGTGTGAGATTGATTAGTTTTTCAATTAATCTTTGATATTTTCTTATGTCTACTTCTTTTCTTTCTTCATTTTACTTCCAGCTTTTGACTTTATTTAGTTGGGGTTTCTGAATTTCAGATCAGTCTTTTTTAGTAGATCTATGATATTTTTATTGAGAGGAATATTTTTTATTATGATTGAGCAACTTTTATGCGCAAGAAGTATTTGAGCTTGCCGAACTCCTTGATATCAAATTCTTCAGCAAGCTTTTTCTTGAACCACTATTTCTATATTGTCATCGCTGATAATAGTTATATCATCAATTAATATAACGAGAAATTGAAAATTTACTATCAATGGACTGTTTTATGAAGATTTTATGATGTACTTTGCTTCATTTGTTTCGGGCTTTATTTATGACTTTTGTGAATCTACGAATTAATCTCTCAGATTGCTGAAGGCAATATTGTCTTTTTTCTATTTGCACATTTTGTTCTTTGTGAAAGCAGTATCAAATTCATGTTATGTATTCATTTTGATTTCTTCTTCAAATTCCTCGTTCATGAAAGCATTTTCTACATCATACTACTGCATGGAACCATCCATGATTGGCTATAAAAGAAATTACATTCCTTATTATATTCATTTTTGCAACAGGAACAAAAGTTTATCGGTAATCGATTCTATTTGATTAAGCGTATTTTTTTACTACTAATTTTGTTTTATATCATTCTGGATTTTCATTTGCTCTATATTTAAAAAATCATTTGTATCTTATAATTATCTTTCTTTTTTATTGTTAACGATCACCAAAGTTTTTAATTTTTTTTTCCGGGGCATCCATTTTTTCTATCATGACATTCTTCTCATTCTTATTTTCAAGTGCCTTAAAGAGGGTTTGTGGTATTATAATGGAATTAGAGCTTATTTTTATAAAAAGGCTTCATGGGAAATAATTTTTTTAAAAAAAAGATGTGTACTGAGAGAGAGAATATAGAGGATAATATATAGTGATGGTTTGATCATCATTACAAGTTAAAGGTTGCAAGTCTTGATCTTGCTAGAGTTTTTGGTTAGGCTTATTCTTTCTTATCATTACAAGTTAATGGTTGCAAGTCTTGAGCTTGCTAGAGTTTTAGGTTAGGCTTATTCTTTCTTATATAGACTTGAAGGGGTATAGTGCCAGAATTGTTAGAGTTTATATTATTGGAATGTCAAGATGAAAGAGATTTCATCAAACTTATCTTTCAAATGATAATTCTCCTATTAAGTAATAATTTGATTGAAAAAACTTTGCTTCTCATCAAAGGTGACATATTTTGAAGGATTTTTTGGTGGCAAGATGCTAACACATATACCCTTGTTGAGTGTAGGAATATTTAATAAAGACGCATTTGAGGGCTATAGAATCAAGTTTAGTCCAGTTATTAGATAAAATGTCAACTACATCTGTCTTTGATGGTAAATCTTAAGATAAGAAATGCATGTTATACAGTCATAGTCTTGGCATCTCCCATGTAGCTAATCTTTCATTCCGAGCACAAAATGTTTCAAAGAAATGTAAGAGTACCAAGAGTGCTGTAACAACTGTAAATCAACCACTTCCCGATATGTATAGGTCCCTTCTTAAGCTAATCCCTCATTTCATGTGGCAAATTAATGAAAACGTTAAATACATTGATGGATTAGATTTTTGTATCACTTGTAAAAAAGAATTTAAGAGCACTGAAGATTTAGACAAACTAGCGGTCAAAATAAGGTGCATGGACAAATAAGAAAGTGTGATGTGATTAATATTTCTGCTCCTATTTCCAATATCATTATGCCATTCTAATCAAATCATGCAACTGTTTGAAGGAACCATAAGCTGAATTAAATGCATGTGAGGACTGAGGTTGAGACCAACATCACAAATTAGTACGAACAATTGAACATAGTTAGAAAGTTTAATCAGACTGCAAACGAAAAAAAAAAAAAAGCAATACCTGAAATATGTCCTTTGTATGTGTGAGATAACAATGGACATATTAAAAGAGATCGAAACTTCTACTCTAAGGCTTCATTTGGGATGGCTTTCTTACTGCTTCTTAAACCAACTTTTTAATATAGAAATTAAAATTTTGTTCTAAAAAGCTGCTTTAAGAAGCAGTAAAAAACCCGTCCCAAATGAATCCTAAGTAGAAGATATTCCATTTTCCTTTCGAAGGGATGAAATATTACAACATCAAAATATAATATCCACATATATTGAGGAATCAAAGTATGCAATCTTTGTTAACCTCTATTTAGCCTCCTAATACCGAAATTTTGAGTGGTCCTAGAGCTCTAAGTTTTTAACCTGAAAGTGCATTCTAAAAAACAAAAAAGGCGGCTCATTAGGTGATCAACTGAACCAGAAACACAAAAAAAGTCTGCAATGTGAAAAATTCTGTAAATGCAGAAATTAGAGCATGAAGAATTCATGCAGTGAAACATGGTTTTCCAGGAAATAAACAAAAGGATTTTGTAGGGAATAGGCTAACATAGTTTTTGGCATAAAATTGCTGCTTGTATCTGTTAAAAAAAAATCAAATTACATCAATAAAGACAGTTCGAATTGTATATACAAACAGCACCAATAATATTGCCCAAAACCAGATAGTAACTACTGATGCATAATGGATTCTTCTCGCCATCAGTAAGTATGATTTACTTTACAGGTGCTAAATGGAGCTTGAGTACTACTTTAGGGATAAACGAAAGAAAATATAATGTTAGAGTATCAATATTATTATACCATATGCAACAAGCAATCATGAACATCAATCAAACCCTGTAAAATTTAGATGGATTTCAGTATGCAAGTAGGTTAGGAATAATTGCTGGCATCAAACTTAAATTCAAAAAATAAATTTTAATAGTGTTGCAAACTAAATACCAATTAATTAATGGATTTAGATAGCTAAATCATAAGCAATGAATTTTATATTGAATGTGGAAATGGAAAAATATGATAAGTGGTTTCTCTCTTCAAGAACATATAGCTCATTCTTTTCTCTAGCTTACTCAATCGCCTTCCTTGTAATGAAGTCCCGATATACATAATGATTAGTAAAAAATGTTACCTTGCCGTTGTGATTTTTAGTGCTTTTATAGATACACCTTTTATAGATACAAGATTTACCGCAAGACGAGAAACATGCAATATATTATTGAAAATAAATGTGGAAAAAATTGAAACAATTCTTTAACCTGCAACAATTGTTAGGGGACCATCAACTATTTTTAGTTTTTATTGTTGGGGTAATGTTTGGGGCTTGGAAAAGGTTGGCAAGGTTGTTCATGCGCGTAGTAGCTCCTGCATCTTGTATTTAGGGCTGAGGGGAATTATGTAAGAGATTAAAAACATAAGAGTTAGTAGTCATCATTTTGAGTTAGAGAGCATGAATCAGGTTGTTTTTCCAGAGAATTGATGAAGTTCTTGAGTTTGTCAATTTCTTTCAGGATGAGCCTTTTGGATTCGATAAGACAGACCTGCCATATTTGTTCCACCATAATCTAGTGGCTTTCCATGGAGTTTTCACAATTTTTCTTTAATCTTTCTTTTCTTCTTGTAGTAATTGCACTATAGATTGCCTTTGGATAAAAGCTTGTCTTTTTTTAGGGAAGAGTCAATA